CTTTTGGACAGAAAGGTGGTCCACCCAGCTGTCGCTTCTGAGCATCCTTGACATATTAAATATCGAAGGTTTATCTTGATTTGAAATTAAAGAGATGGAGGAGAATCGCTTCACGAGTATTGCTAGCTGTTAGTAATATTGTCATGTGTTTTATGCATGATTCGCAAGCCTGAAATGTAGGTAATGCGTGTGCCTTTGTCGTAGGGCGCACGCATAGTCGGTCGGACGACAGCAACGATCGTAACTGTCGCACAGCATTGGATGCGTATCGATCGTCGGACTTGCCTGAGTATTCGACGATTAGATGCAGTTAGACAGTCAGACAGTTGCGATCGTTGCTGTCGGACGACCGACTATGCGTGCGCCCTACGATTGGAGGTCTTTTGTGGCGTTTTTTTTCTTTTAACAAAGAAAGTGGGAATCGAAAGGGTAGAACATGCAGCGGGTTGATGGAAAGATCTAGCCATTCCCTTTTTGGGTATGGGTTTTTTGATATTTTGCTGCGTCACCTTGTTTTTCGTTGTATGATAGTGATTGTGAAATCTCACGCCAGGAATTTTTGTCATCATAGCTTATCATTTCGCATTCGACGCGAGCCGCATATGAACGCGTCGCGATCTTCTCCTAATGTCATCATTCGAGTGTGATGGCAGTATGCGTATCCTGATTTGATCATGCTCGGTCGATCTCTCTACGCTTGTTGAGGCTGGTTTCCTCATGAGGGTTTGTTGATACAGGCAAGTCACGGGATGAGGATTTAAGCCCAAGTTCAGGGGAGCATACGGACTCTAAGCTTTGGCGCTAGGGGTATGCGAAAAACTTCTCGCGAAATGCGAGCTCGTCTTCTTCCGTGAGGAAATATGTCCACCCAACCCTGTCCTCTCCCCATTTCCAAAAAATGCTCATCCCCTAGCTCACACTTGCTTCTTTCACCACCCATTACCAACTGACTAGATAGTATTTAAAAAATGATGAAAAAATGATAGGATTGAAGCTCGTAGCATCCCCTAGCCTAAGAGGACTTCTTGTGCCAAGTTGGGATTTCCGATTTCCGAACTTTCATAAAATACCCTCCCTTTCAGGGTTGACGGACTCTTGAACCCGGTCCTTTAAGCCGCCTCAGATCCATCTCTCGTCTGCGCTCTCTCACCTTATCAGAGCCTCATGGCATTGGTGGCCCGACCTCGAAGCCGCCGCCCTCCCACAGAAGGTCACCTCCATCCTGGATTTGGAACCCGCCACCCCCCCCCCCCCCCCCCCCCCCCCCCCCCCCCCCCCCCCCCCCCCCCCCCCCCCCCCCCCCCCCCCCCCCCCCCCCCCCCCCCCCCCCCCCCCCCCCCCCCCCCCCCCCCCCCCCCCCCCTGCAGGCCATGGCAAGAAATGAGTAGTCCGTAAACCGGGCTCTTTATAGTCGATCATTCGATCGTAACGATCGCATACGTAACGATCGTTACGATCAACGTCCATATTCTATTCCACACTAGAACAGTCGGACTTTCGAAATATCGCGGCGCGCTTGCACGTGTTGGACTCGCGTGAGTCACCTTTCATCATTGACGTCATTCATTTTCGTTCACCTATCCCTTTCAATTCATCGGCTGATTTGTTGAGTTCTCGTGTAGTTTAGAAGCTCAAATGTCTGCTGAAGTTTATTTTATCGCAATTCTTCTAACTTAAACGTGAGAATTTTTTGAAATAGAAAGTCAACAAGGATGGCACACGGCTAGCGCCTGTTGGCTTCCCTTGCGACCGCTGCCGTTTAAGGTCGTAACGATTGTTACTATCGTGCGACTGACTGTGAAAGCGCTTATTTCGCAAATTAAACAACTTTCACGTTCATCAATAATCGGATCTCTTACTCTTGTCTTCCCTTTCTGGATATTTGTCACTTTTATTGATTGTAGATGGAAACTATAAGCGTCAAGCTGAGCACTGGAGATGTTCATCGTCGATTCAAGATTCGGGTAAGTCTATGCTTTTTTCTTTCCTTCATATTTTAGGGATCGTAAACGATTTTGCAACCGCCGTGGACTTGGTGTTTCTCTTTGGGCTCGGTCCTTAGTCACCCGCGCTGTGGGTTCGTTGGCTCGCGGATGAATTGCAAAATACACATTCTCCGCGTAACGGGATTTTTCAGGGATCTGTTTTCCTATCAATTTTGTGCCGCTGCAGCGTGGATGGGTATATATACTTGTCAGCATACCACCTGATCATTAGGATGAGCCAAGCGTCGAGAAAAGTGTGTGGTCGACATTACTCTCCCATAGGCGGGTATCAAGCTTTGCGACTAATCGCAAGCGAATCGCTTGATTCGTATCATAAGGTGACGCCACTCGGCTTACTGATGTCCAGCGCTCTGTTCTTCTCAGTTGCCTAGCCCAGTGCGCAACTTATGGAAATAAATGGTTAGGCCATGGCCCATACTAAATTGCCGCGCACGACGCTATCCGTCGCGTGAGCGACGTGACGTGATGAGCTCACGGTTGAATTGACCGTCATGTTATTGTAGGCCTAAAATGAACTGGTTCCACCCGTCTGGTAGTAACATGATAAAATTGAATAAAGCTATGGTTGAACTCCGCGTTTCCTTGTGTATTTCATGCAGCATTGAAATTGCTACTGCGATCATGAACGGAAGTTGAGCAATTGGGTTATTCTAACAAGTTGCTCAGCTGCGAACGCTTGCTTGTTTTTGTCCAACAGTAAAGGTAGTTGAAGTTACAGTAGCTGGTTCGTAAGCTGCTGTCACGTGCTGGAAATAGTGTAGGCCCCTGGCGCATAGTGTAATCCGTGCGGAGCACCTCAAGGAACACCATTTTTCAATGTTAGTTTCAGTTGTCGATTTCATAGCTGCTAGTATTTTCTTCTTTTTAGGGCAATGATATGAGTGAACTATTCAAAGATCTGACCGAGAATATCTCTCAAATTTCACAGCCTGGAGGAGAATTTGATGTTGCATGGCAAGGTAAGCTTTAATAAGATTCAGGAAACCGGGAGATGAGGAAAGATATGCAGTCCAGGAGCCGTTGAATTTCGGTAAAGATCTAGGTCACGAAATTTTCAAGTGAGGTGAAACCTGGCACGTGCGTGCATAGGGTCGAACACATTAGATTAGTACCATATAAATCTCATGGATACTTTCATTTGAAAAGGTTCCCTGTTAAGATTCTGGTAGTCTTTGGAAGATAACGGGATTATGGCAGATTGCTTCGCAACAGTGGCCATTTTCAGTAGTTGGCTCAGATGGCCATCCATTTTGTGAGGAAAAATTCCTTTGGCGGCTGCTCTTCTATTGAATTTTTTTCTACAGATGAAGATGGTGACAGCGTTGTCATCACCCGTCCTGTGGAGCTTGGAGAAGCGATCGAAGCACGAAAGGATGCCACCCTTAGACTTCATTCGTTAGAAAAGAAAGTCGAGAAGGTGGAGTCAAAACTCAGCAACGAAACCC